GTGTATGTATGTGTAAGGTATGCATGCGTTTTTTGGGCAAAGATTTCATTAATAGCTTTTGCGGTCAAGTGTGGGTAGCAGGGCAAAAAAAAGAGTTTGGTTTGGGTGAGTTACGAGCCAAAATGTTTCGGCACTGCATAGCTTATTTGCCTTCTTCATAAAAGACTTTTGCTGCCAGCTCTGCCCCTTGAACAAGAATGTTTTTGCTTTAATTTGCAAATGGGTTCTGCGGCTAGGCAGGTATCTGCCCATAGAATAGTTTACTTGAAGATATATACAATATACAATATTTTTAATTTCTTTATCATTTTTGACTTGATTAATAAGTCTAACGATAAGACTTCTCTTTCGAATATAAGTCTTAAATTAATAATATTATTACTGTTGGAATTTTTTTTTCATGTATTTTTATTTATTTTTTTCTCCATTTCTTACAGCACTACTATTTTTATGAACAGCTGATTTTCAATGCTTTTCTCTAAAGTCCTCAACAATAATTTAATTTCTTTGCATTTTATTTTAAGCAATTGCAACTATCTTTTTATTCGGTTAAAGATTTGAGCTGCACTGCTATTTTTACATTTCATTTTCCCTGACATAAATTTTTCGGAATTTTAGAATTTCTTTAATGAAAAGCCCATTTTTATATCCTTACTTCGTGCCCAGCAATAATTTCTAATTATTTAACGCCAAGTGTCAACGTCTTTTTTAATGTTTCCTCAATTTGGCTGTAAATGGACTTCAAGCCATATGCCCTTTGACTTGTGACCGCCCCTCGAGTTCAGTTTATTTCATGCTTCGCTGCGGCCCCTATTCAAAAGTTTATTTTTCCCAAAAACAGAATAAAACCTAACCTTACACAAAATACCTATTTATACGTCCATATGCCTGATATATTGATATAGTGAGAACCTATTCCAATTCGCCTCGCAAACCAGCAAACAAAAACAACAATTAATGCAATGTAATGGAAATTTGCTTCCGCAATAATAAAATTTTTACATTGCAGATTTTATGCTTCAAGTCTAGACGACAATTTTGGAACGTGCTCAATTAGTGTTATATGAATAACAGGGTAATACCTCCCGCCGCAACGTATCCCCCGCCGATACCAACCCCTTGCCCAGCCCAAGCAAAAACAATTTGCAAATGACATCTGGCAATGTGAGTGACGCGACTCGGCAATAATACTATTTCATAATTTTTACTACACACAAGTATATATATTTATATATATATGAGCAGATATATATATAAATGTTTTCAAGCTGTACGATATGGTTTAAATGGATCGGGCGGGCAGTCCAATACGACTGCCTCCGTCGCAGTTCCATACAATCAGCGACAGCTAAAAACCAGAGTCGTGCGAAATTTGTTAATACTCGTAATACCACACAGCTAAAATGCGACTAGGGGTATGATAAGAATATATAGGCATCTAGCACAAATACAAATGTGTAAGTAATCGGTTTTCGATATCACGATCGATAAAATATTGAGATCATATTAGTAAAAAGCTGTGAATACTTATTAATTTTTATTGCGAACCAAACTATAAGTTTTCACATATGAAGTACGTGATAATCTAATCGATAACATTATCGATCACCTGCCGAATTGCCATAAATAAGTATAAATAGACTATTCGGTTTGTATAATGAACAAGGCAATGTAGTATATAAATAAATCGAAACTGTTATCGAATACTTGCTTTATTACTTGTTATCGATAACTATTTCGAATAATTCTTATTAATTTAATTTAAGTTAAAAAGCATAATCCCAGGGAAATTCGTTAGCCGTGCCCACCCGCAAACATTATGCACACTTGTTAAGTATAATTTTTCACGTCGCACTTCCAAGCGAGAGCGAGGGCGAGGCAAAGATTTGCGCCTGATGGCGTCGATAAAAACAAATTCGTAGACACTTGGTAATTGTTTTTCATATTCCGCTTTTGTTTTTGTTGCTTTGCTGCGTTTGTTTTTTGTTTTCTAATGCATATTAGTACAACTACAACTATTCACGCGAACCCAACCATTTGCGGCGCTGTGCCCTGCGCAATTTATTTGCAATTGAGCGCGCGCGCCATTCTCTAGCTGTTTATTTCCCTCATTTCTTCAAGAAAGTTCACGAATCGTGTATTTAGCTGCAAGCAGGAAGACAAGGAGAAAGGAATAGGGGAGAAGGCGTGGCTGTGCAGTGCCTACGTAAAGAATAGTAAAAGAGGCAATAGATTTTAAGCACACGACCGAACGCACAGCCATTCGCAACACGTGGGTGTGAAGAGACGGACAGGCGACATTTGAATAGAGTGGAAATGGCAAGGAGAGAGGGGAAGAGAGAGAGAAGGGTGGCACTGTGCACAGACCATGACTAATCACAACGGTGGGGGCATAAATCATTTGCAGACAAAGCAGCGGGAGAAATCTTTTAGCTTTTGTTGTTGCTGCTCCAAACAGGAAGAGCTTTCTGCACAAAAAAGTTTGTTTTTGCTTTAAGCAGACGAAAGAGCGGCAGAGAATAAAAAATCATAAAAACAAACGCCCAAACAAAATGAATACATAAAATAAGTCTTAACCTTGACATTGAATACGGCGAATACATAAAAAGAAAATGCCGGCAAACACGTTACACATACACACATCAGTGTGCGTGTGTGAGTATGAGCATGTTTGTCTCTGCAGAGTTTAGGCACGCTGGCAGCAGCAAATGTGGAAGGGCGAATTAAATAAATATTAAAGAGCCGCAAACGCGCAAATCCCAAAGTCGCAAGAGTGCTTAAATCGTTTGTTTATCAAAAACAAAAATAAAAAAAAAATAATGCTGCCGCGTGTGGCGCTAAAAATAGCAAACAACAATATTCAGCAAAACACAAATACTCAGAAGAAATAAGAAGCGATAAAAAAATTATTTGCTTTTATGAATTAAAAAGTGCAAACGCAGAAAATAACACAAATCAGCCGGTTTTTTTACTCTCTTTTCATAAGCAGCAAATGCAATGTATAAGCAAAAACAGGCACAAGTTTTGCGGCAAGTCTTTGAAAGAGAAAAAGAGCGCGCGCGAGAGAGTGTCACATAGGCGCAACAACTGAGCGATTGAAGCAAAAATAAAACAGATCAAAATTAAATCAGCGAATCAGACACAAAGAATATTCGAAAGCTGGGAAAACAAGAGCAAATGAGAGAAAAAAAAAATAAAATAAAAACAAATATTGCGGCCTTGAAAACTGGACAACAACAGCACAACACAAAATGCGAAGAAGAGAGCCTAAAAGAATGAAGGGAATTAGAAGTTTGTTTTTTTTGTCTTCTTTTTGGGGGTTGAACGAGCAACAAATGAAGAAAGGCCAGGGAAAGGGTAATCGCGGACTAAGAATACGGCACAGGCCCAGGCTGCACAGATCTTTGCAAAACATGTACCACCAACAACAACAGAAGAAAAAAACAACACTGGAAGAGCAAAACATGCTCGACCGTAAGTATATCTATGTGCATGTATATGTGTGTTAAATGAGAGGAGAGCTTGGAAATCAACAAGAAATAAGAGCAAAAAAGAGGGCCACAACCAAATACACAAGCACGATCTTTTTATTTTTTTTGCTTCTATTTGTGCTCCGCTTCTTCTTCGTCTCCGTCATCATGTTGTTTAACATTTGCTGCTTGTTTTGCTCTTTGACGAGCGCGCACACCCACACACACACGCACACATTTGTATTTTATCGGAGTGGAATAAATTTTAATGCGCCCAACGACGAATTCGCTTTGAGAAACGGAAATATTAAAATTGGGCATAATGAAAATAAAAGTATATACACATACAGATATCTAGGAATGTGTGTGTGTAAGAATTTACATAGTTCTTAATATATATTTCGGTTGTTGATACATTTTCCAGTATTTTGATGATTAATTTCGTCTCACATGTGTCAGAGAAAATCTTCAATCAAAGAGATACGGCGAGGGCAAGGAGCAGGCGAATATCAAACATTGACCCAAAGTAATGGATAAAAACATACAAAAAGATAAAGCAAGCGGCGAGCGAAAGAAAAGAAAAAAAATAAATAAACTGAATTCGATAAAAGTGAAACTCGTAATACAAGTACAAACACTCATACACCCATACGTACGTATATAAATAAATAATAAATGTGCGACCAAAAAGGAAATAACAAGCAGAATGGCAAAGCGCAAAAAAAAACGCAACGCTTGAAATTCGCAAACAGAATGCGGCGAAGCAGCATTGGAAGATCAGTGAGAGAGTACGAGCGAGTGAGTGAACATGCATGCGAAAGGAAGTAAAGCACTGAGGGAAACAGAGAAAGAGACATATAGCACGGTGTCATTAAGTCTGGTTTATTTGCATAATGCAATCGAACTTCCTTGAAAGTATTTACAAAAAATAAAATGATATTGTGATTTATTTTAAAAGACATTTTTAAAATATACACATTTACAAATTATTTGAATTAATTTCATGGATTAATCTTTTTTGGCAGCTGTTTGCGAGCGAGAATTGATGCTGCAAATATCAAGGTTATATAAGCGCAGCGATATGACAAAAAAAAACTGCGAACAAACAATTGCCTTCAAACACGAAATTAATGTCAATCGGCATAGCAACAAAAATCTATTTCAGATCAATTTTGTAGAGAACACAACTTAACAATGTAAAAGATTTTCTTGGAAATGAGATACAGTTGTGAATGTAAGCATTCCAAATATTCTTAAACTTTAGCTTTACAATAAATTAAAAAAAATGAACTATTGAATCTTATAAATAAATTCGACTATTTAAAAACAAATCATTTTTTTCCTAATTTTGTCGTTTAGTGTAAACAAAATTTTTATTTTTTTTTTTTCACTTTTTTTCATTTTGAATTATTGACATTGCGCCCACATGTTGGAAAATTTTCAATTTTAATTTCAATCGTCTTGATTGAAATTGGGGGAGAGCCGTGGGGGCTGCACTATAAGGGTAAAGTGTATTTACAGTTAACTTACCGCACACGCTCCGAGTAGAGTTCGACTTCTTTGTTCTTCTGCTGCTGCACGAGCTGCTGCTGATCGAAGCTGGCGAGCGGTTTGAAGCCGCTGATGTTGGCCAAGGCGGGCAGCTGCGGTGCTGGCGGCTGCAACAGGCACTTGGCCAAGCCTAGACCGTTATGTTGCTGCTGCTGCTGCAGTAGCTGCAATTGTTGTTGTTGCTGGAAGTGCAACTGTTGCTGCTGCTGCTGTTGCACGGGCGAGAGCGAGCTGTCCGCGCTGGACTGCGAGGCCGATGGCGAACTGGAGCCGCTGGAAGATAGGCTTCCAGCGCGGGCACGCAAATCCAGGCCCAACACATTGTGATTGTTGTTGCTATTGTTGCTGCTGCTGTTGTTGCTGCTCATGAGTATGTTGCTGAGGGTGGCCACAACGCTGGGCTGCAAGCCAGTTGCATGGTTGTTGATGTTGCTGCTGCTGTTATTGTTGTTATGCGGCAAGCCAGAGCCAATTACGCCCACATTCGGATTGGGCGTGATATTCGCCGCATTCGTGTTGATCGGGGCAAGTGCAACAGCTTGTTTTTGGTTGTTGGCGTTGTTGTTGTTGTTGCTGTTGTTATTGTTGTTGTTGGCATTTCCATTGGCATTGCGATTTCGCTTCTTCTTCGCCTTCTTTTTGTCATCGTCTTCGCTGCCACTGCTAATGAGCGACCGCTGGAAGCAAATTCCAGTTGGCGGCCATTCCAGATCCTTGCGCAAATGCCCGCGGCCGCACTTGCAGGTGCAGTTCTTATAGACCAGATCGTAGCCCTTTTTGGTCCACAGCTGCTGCATACGCTGCCGCTCTGACCAGCTGCGCGCCCTGGCGCTCGCCTTCAGTTGCTGCAGCACGCCCGCCTCCCACTGATCGAAGCAATCACGATGCATGTACTGACCCTCGTTGCAGTTCTCATTGTTGCACAGCACGCGCACATAGTCGGAGAGACTGTGCTCGTCCAGCGCGATTAGGGCGTCAAGTTTGGTGCATTCACCGTTAGGATAGCAGCAGCGCGTCAACTGAACGCCGACGCTGAGCGTTTGCTGCATGGGCGCCATGTTTGTAGAGAGTGGAGTGGCGAAGTTGTAGAGTTGCGGCGGCTCCTGCTGTTGAAGTTGTTGTTGCTGCTGCTGCTGTTGAGTGTTCCCGCTGCTGCTGCGACGCGGCGCCATAAATTCGCACGTGTCTAACAAATTTTTCCTGCTCTCGACTATTTCCTTTTCTTGATTTTATTTTTTTTTTTATTATTATTTTTCAAGCCTTGCTAAGCAACTGCCTCAGCATGTTTAATTTTTTGTTCTTAAAATTTTTTGTTACCGTTTTTTTCGATTTAACTGTATAAAAAGTGTACACAAAATTGCAGTCTATGTTTTTATTGTTAATTTATTGCTTAATTTATACCTGAGCTGAGTTTACAACACGCGTTTCTAGTATCAAAAATTTATTTTTTTTTATCAAGTTAAGTTTTGATTTTTTACATGTTTTATTTATTTTTATAAATTTTCGCACACACGCACAAAAATTGTTTATTTGGCGGCGCCGGTTGTTGTTTTGTTTTTTTACACCACACACTGTCTTTTATGCATATTATCTTGTGTTATTTACTGAGTAGGAAAATATATATGAAATGTATTTGATGCCGTTTAATTTTATTTTTTTATTATATTCTTCGCTGATTTTGCATTGTTTCGCTTTGCCCACTTCCAATTTTTGTTCAAGTACGGCGAACGGAGAGCGCTGCGAAAAACACAACCAACCAGATCAAAAGCGAAATTCCAACTAAACTAAACGAACGGTACACACGAACAGCCGAACAGCCCAGCGACCGAACAACAAACTGAAACTGAAATTCGAAGCACACACACACCACACGCACTGACACATGCACACCAGACCGGCAGAGCCAACACAAACGCACATGTATTATCGCTGCTGCTGTCGTTGTTGTTGTTGGTGGGTGGATGGGTCGAGCAGTTCGATGTTGTCGGTCGAGCTGCACAGCCGCTGCATGGCTCGGCAGCGTTTAGTCAAACCACGACGCTGGCAGCGCAGTTGCAAGTTTTACTTTTTGTTGTTGTTGCTTAAGGGTGGGTGGGTGTTGGGGTGGTTTGGTTGGCTGGTTTTCACTTTCCACCACCACCGAAAACAACGTCGCTACCTAGCTGCGGAAAATGCTTGTTTTTCATTTGAGGAAAATTTCGTACAAGTTTTGGCGCTAAAAATAGAGACGTCGGGCGGGGTGGTTTTTTGGGAATGTATTATCCATGGGGGTTGGTTGGTGGAGCGTGCGACACTTGAGTCAGCGAGCAAGGGAGATAGAACGAGATATTAACGAAAAGTTCTATTCAAATTCACTTTCAATGCGGTTCGAACATGATGCGAACGCAAGCCGTTTCCCCTACAACATGTTGTACTGCGCTGCGCTGCGTCGTCAGATGCTCGACAGCGCACCAGCAGCAACATGTATGAAGGTAATGTGTGCATGGTCGTGGTGCTCGTGTATGTGTGTGTGACGCAAAAAAGCCGGCAAAACAAACAACAGACTGCGTTGAACAGGGTTGTCGAGTAGCCTTTCGTTGAAAAGTGACCACGAAAGTTCTGGCAGCGAGGGAACGTATTAAAAACTAAATATTCTAAGGACTGTATATATGTATATATATAATCATCATTTATCATATTTCAAGAAAATGGCTACATGCCGCAATATTTATATTGATACCTGTGCCAAAATCGCTTACCAGTCTCCTTTTCGACTATCAAATGTATATACATTGTATGTATGTAAACATATACGTGTATATGTGGATATTTGCGTACATCTTGCCATTGAATCTACTTTGTTTCGGTTTTGACTGGGACGGGACCCCTTGCAGCCCGTCTACTGCTGACTGTGCTTCAATTTGGTATATAATCCCAAAAACACACGCACACATATGCATTGACAACATTAACGTATATAAGAACTCACACATAGGCAACTTAACACAATGGCCCACGAACAAAAATAAAAGAGGCATTAAAAAAAGCAAGGCGACGAAGGCATAAAACAGCAAAAGCAAAATGGAAACATGCGAGCTAAGTCGAGTATTTTGGCACGCTGCAAGGAATATGCAGCTTTTCAACATTCTCAAAAACTGTTCGTATGATTTATGAAAAGAATAAATCCTTTTAAATAAAAATATTCTTATAATTATGAATTAGATGGCTTAATGGCTTCGGTTAATATTACAAATCACATGTGTGTATAGACTTGAATTCATAAACAACATAAATGTAGGGTATTCATTTATTTATTATACTGTTCTGATGCTTTTTCGCTGTTGGTGTCAGTATCGTCGTAGTTCTCTGCTGCGCTCTTCGCATCATCGACTGCTCTTCTACTTATGTGTATGAATGTAAATATGTATGCATGTATGCAGTATATATGTATATGTTGTGCTTGCTTATGTACGTTTGAATTGTGCTGTTTCCCTTTTAGAGTCCTGTATTAAAATCGAAACGCAAAGCGTGTTGCGAAAAAAATAAAAAAAAATAATAAAGGCAAAACCAAAATAAGGGCACGTGTAGGATGAGCTTTATTTATATACATATACATACTGTATTTACATATACATACTGTATATACGTATAGTATATGCGTGCATTTATATATATTTGTGTATGTATATTTAGTGTATGCATAAATATATCAATGTAGGTACGCATGTGCATTTGCATGCTAATTTGTTTTTATTATGTCACTAACGATATTTTCAAGAAATATATTATTATACATACATATGTACATGTATGTAATCTTATAGACTATATGTTTATATGTACGCATGAATTTGTAGATGTTTAAGTACATATGAACATATTTCTGTATGTATGTTAGTATGTATGAATGCATATATGTATGTATAAGTATATGATTTTGTATACATATAAGTGTATGTATGTTTGTATGTACATATGGGTATATTCAGAATTTCATCATCTGTTTCAAAGGAAAAACTGTTCTCATCCAGCAATAATTTAAGTGCTTCATATACGTGTGTATGTATATACATATGTACATTATATTATCGATAATACATTCGATAGTTCTGCAGCTGTGTTGCTCGCGCGTGTTATGCAAAATGTAAGCAAAAAGTAGATCAAATGAAAGCACACAAATGCATACAAACATGTATGTATATGCATACGCATACAAACATGTATATGCATACATACATACATATATATGCATGTAGATATACTTGTTTGTGTGTGTGTATTTCTTATAGGATTCCTTAACGAAGGACTTGGTAAAGTCAAGGCCTTGGTCGCGTCCAACTGGCAAAGTCAAAAACTGCGTAGTTTTGTGCCTGCCTGCTTGTCTACCTGCGCGCGTGTGTGTGTGTGAGCGGTCGGAGCAAGGGGTAGCTGCTCTGATATAATAATTAAGTCAGGTAGGCAGATCGCAGCCATTGCGTAATAAGTTCGACAGTGTGAATGGGTGAGCGCGCACACATAAGCATGTGTGTGTGTTTGTATGTATGCATGTGTGTGCTTGTTGTTATTCTAGCTGGAAGGATCGAGGCGTAAAGAATGAGACAGACTGAGAGGGAGAACACAAAGAACAGGCGTCAGAAGAGGTAGTTGGAATTGGGCTAGTTTGCGTTGCTTTTGCTTCATGAATTCTTTTCTTTTCTCGTTTTCTCCTTTATTATTATTTTCTTTACTTATTATTTTATTGTGCGCCGTTGCGCTGACCTAATTTTAATGGGGGATCGCAGCGCAGCAAAAATTTGCAGCCCTGCGGCTGAGTCCATAATTCAGCTTCAGCTTTGGCGACGTCGACGTCGACGACACGCATCAACTTTAATTTTCATAATTAATGGCAACTAAAGGCTGCAGAAAACGTAGCCCCTGGACACGGCCATGGCATGGGCTGCCATAAATAAATGTCGGTCTAAACATCGGCTTTTGACACCCAGCTCGAAGACTTCCAAGACCTTCCAAGACTTCCTGTTTTGCGTGTGAGAAAGCGTGTCGATATCAGCCGCCGAAGGAAACATTGCGGCCAAGAAGCAAACAAACCTGCGAGTACAGTGAAAGCTCTGCGTATTGCTAAATGCAAATTCTAATTTGTTCCATAATTCCACGTTTTGCACTAAAAACTAATTTTTTGTACTAAAGTAGGCCTTTTTATATATAAATCTTACTTTTTTCTTTTACATTCATACATTCTTTTTTTTATAAACATCTCCCATTTGTGTACCAATATCTCTGATTTCGGTACAAATATCTCCTATTTGTGTTTCCAAATTTCTTGTACCAATTTCTCGAATTTGTGAACCAAAATCTCTATTTTTATATCAATATATATCAATATTTCCAATTTGTATGAATATTTTTGATTTGGTTTCATTATCTCACAATTCTGTACCAACATCTCTAATTTTGTATCCATATCTCTCATTTTTGTACCAATATGTCTTGTTTATGTACCAATATCTTTAATTTTTTATCCAAATCTCAATTTGTGCAGTCCTCAGTTGAAATGTTTTGCATTCCAAAATGATTCACATTCCGTATATCTATCATAGCTCTAGCATTTGAAGTATTTTAGCTGTGGTTCTTATGCTGATGGTTTTCACTGTACTCTTACTTTAAAGTTGATAGATGCAAAAATCAAGTTCGAATTGAGTTGGCGGTGGTAGCAGCCGCAACTCCCTTCGACCCCTACCGCTCTCAGCTGTGCCCATCGAGGGTGTGTCAGTGGTACACAGCAGATGCACAGATCCCCATATACCCTATACATATATATTTATATATTTATATACATATATATATATGTGCGTGTGTGTGGCTGGGTATTATTTGTAATTACCCATACTCCCGCATTTATCCAATCGGAAGCAGCTTTGAAACCCAAAATAGGGTTTGAAATTTTTCATGCTGGCATGACAACCACTGTCCGCAGTCGAATACATAACGCCACAAATGTATATATAAGAAATGTATATATAGCCATATATCTGGTATATATAGACGCGCTTTTATGAGCCCAGCTGTGCACGAAGGGTGCCGTTATTTCGTTTGCCAAAAATAACTCAAACTCCATTTTGTTTGGGTCTTTTTTATCTTGGCTTGCCATAGCTCCGGGGCGTGGGCGTTAATATGGGCGTGGGCCGCCCTGCTCTTACTGCTCTCTATTACGACTATCTTCCTTGCTCACTCTGTGCCTCTACCTTCTCTCTTACATATGTAAACGAAATGAAGTCAGCGTTTCCAATTGAAAATGGCCTAAAAACCAACATTTGAACTATTCCATTTACAGCTAGGCTAGATGCTTGGATTTAGTTTTAAATTTCGATTTTTTAATGAGATATTAAATAATTAGTATGCTTAAATATTTATTATTTTTTTACTATAAAGCAGTTAAATTTAAATAATTTATTAATATATTTACTTTATTTATTAATATATAAAAAATCCAAATTTTCTAATATTTTCTGTTTGTTTTTCTGCCCACTAACAATGCCACAAAAAAAGGTACAATACATACATGAATATATATATAAATATACGTATAAATATGTTTATTTATTATGTATATAAAAAGCATTGCTCATTTGCCATGTATGCCTGTATGCGTGTGTATGTGAAAGCAGAAAGTGAAAGTGAGCGAGATAGCGTAACAGAGCTAAAATTTCATTTGTCCTTTGTGTTCGCATGTAACGAAAGCGAGCGAGTACGCGCGCGAGAGAGAGATACACAGAGAGAGTGAGCGAGCGAGAGGAGTGAAGAGTAATGTGGAAGAGGAAGGGCGAGAGAGCATTAGCAGGGACAAGGCCAAGGAGACGAAGATTTTGAGGCGCACGCACTTTTCGGCTCACTTGTTTCGGGGTTATTTTTTCTACACTAATACAGACGAGAGAACAAATACATATACAAATATGTATATGTTTATGCACACACATAAATATAAATACTAACTGTAATATGAATAGAGTGTAGCGTAGTAGGGCAACAAAATGTATTGTGTATATACATATATACATAAGTATAGATAGATGTTTCCTTGAGCGCCTACACCTAGCTAACTCCGCCCACACAAATGCGGAAACTCCACTAATATGGCCGAGCATTCAGGTAAAAGGAAAGTGATGTGGAGTGAATAAAATTAATTTAGAATTCTTGTTAATAATGAAAATGTTGTTATAATAGATGAGTATGTAGTTAGGCTAAGTAGATAGAAATGAATTAAAGGAAAACAATAGGAAAATATAGATCTGGATAGAAGTTGGAGGCGGACAGAGAAATATGTTGACCTTTGGAGTATAGCTATTACCTAGCTATTAATGATTATCTATTATATATGTTATGTAAAAAAAAAGTTCCACAATCCAGTCCAAATCTTAAGCATGGAACTAGTTCATTCAGAATTAACTTTAGATAAAAAGAATTAAAAATCCTTTCCTTTCATTCTACAGATTTAATCAAAAAGTG